GGCGAGAGCTGCGCCGTGCGGTGGCTGTGCTATTCGGCGCTGCTGTGCGAGGCCAACCCGCCGGCGAGGGCGGCGGCAGGCGCTCGGCACAGCCTCTTCATTGACGGCGAGGGGCGGCTCTCGTCGTGCGGCAGTGAGGAATTCTACCCAGGGTTGCTCGGTCACGGCGAGGGCGTGCTGCGGCTCAACACGCCGACCCGACTCCTGTCGACGCTGGGCGGCGAGCGCGCCGTGAGCGTGTCGGTGGGAGGATACCACAGTCTCGCCCTCACCAGCAGCGGCGCCGTTTGGAGCTGGGGCCAGGGAGGCTTGGGCAGGTTGGGTCACGGCGACCATGAAGACCAGTGGCAGCCGACGAAGATCGAGGCCTTTGCTGGGCGGCGCGTCGTCGCTGTCTCGGCTGGACTCGAGCACAGCCTCGCCCTCACCGCCGACGGAGAAGTCTGGAGCTGGGGCCGTGGTTTCTCGGGCAGGCTGGGCCACGGCGACCAGCAGAACCAGTGGCAGCCGAAGAAGGTCGAGGCCTTGGCTGGCCAGAGTGTCATCGCTGTGTCGGCTGGATACTTCCACAGCCTCGCCCTCACCGCCGACGGCGCCGTCTGGAGCTGGGGCTTCGGAGGCGGGGGCCGGCTGGGCCACGGCGACACGCAGAACCAGCTGCTGCCGAAGAAGGTCGAGGCGTTTGCAGGGCGGCGCGTCGTCGCTGTGTCGGCTGGAAACAGCCACAGCCTCGCCCTCACCGCCGATGGGGCTATCTTTGCCTGGGGCAAGGTGTGCACAGCATCGCCCTCACCGCCGACGGCGCTGTCTGGAGCTGGGGCTATGGAAACTGGGGCCAGCTGGGCCACGGCGACTATCAGGCCCACCTGCTGCCAAAGCAGGCTGAGGCCTTGGCTGACCAGCGCGTCGTCGCCGTGTCGGCAGGAGAGCGTCACAGCATCGCCCTCACCGCCGACGGCGCCGTCTGGAGCTGGGGCGAGGGAGACGAAGGCAAGCTGGCCACGGCGACGTGCAAAACGAGTCGCTGCTGAAGAAGGTCGAGGCCTTTGCTGACCAGCGCGTCGTCGCTGTGTCGGCTGGAAGCAGCCACAGCCTCGCCCTCACCGGCGACGCCGCTGTCTTCACCTGGGGCCAGGGCACAAGCGGCTGCCTAGGCCACGGAGAGGACCTGTCCAACCAGCTGCTGCCCAAGAAGGTCGAGGCGTGGGCGCCGGGGCAGTGATGATAGATCGAAAGGGTGCACAGGACTGTGCCTAATCTTCACGTTGCGAACGTATCCGAGACTGGAGAGAGGCGAATCCGGGACGGTGGAGGTTTGTGCATGCTCCACTGTTTCCTGCGGGTTGCTGCACGTCTGGGCTTTGTTGTTCGGCCGTGATGTGGCTTCCCGGACGATCGCGTGTCGTACCCTGTTCGGCTCTCCGTGCGCTGGTGAGCCCATTTGTGTTCTTTTCCGGGTACGCCCGTGTTTTTCTCGCCGCCGGTTTTATTTTAAGAATTTTACCGCAAATTTTTCCAGAATTCTTTTTCTCGTGGTGTACCTGTGTTAGTGCCAGTGCGCGCCAGTCCCGTGCCCAGTAAAAGAAAGAAAACAGACAACCCAAGGGAGGGATGGGAGAACGGTGTCGTGCGAGGGGTTGGGAAAATTCTTTTTCTCACGATGTCCACCCCGCCGCGCCGCCGCTCGCGTCGCCTCGCCTCCTCCACCGCCGCCCCCTCGCCGAACACGCCGCCGCCCACCCGCCTCCTCGACCTCCCCACGGAGCTCCTCGCGCGCACTCTCTCACACTGCCACAGCCCCCTCGACATCGCTCGCGTCGCGGCCGTCTCGCTGCTCTTCCACGCCTCACTAGCGGTGGAGGGCATCCGCTTGTGGGCGCAAGAGCGCGGCTTCGAGCTGCCGGCGCTGCCAGATGGCGAGGGCTGTGCCGTACGATGGCTGTGCTATTCGGCGCTGCTGTGCGAGGCCAACCCGCCGGCGAGGGCAGCGGCAGGCGCTCGGCACAGCCTCTTCATCGACGGCGAGGGGCGGCTCTTGTCGTGCGGAAAGGCTGAGAGCTGGACGCCGGGACTGCTCGGGAACGGTGAGGGCGTGATGCGGCTCATCACGCCGACCCGCCTTCCGTTGGGCGAGCGGGGCGTGAGCGTGTCGGCTGCAACGCAGCATAGCCTCGCCCTCGCCGCTGACGGCTGTGTCTGGAGCTGGGGCGAAGGACATGCTGGCAAGCTGGGCCACGGGGACACTCAGAACCAGCTGCTGCCTAAGAAGGTCGAGACCTTCGCAGGGCGGCGCGTCGTCGCCGTGTCGGCTGGATTTGCACACAGTCTGGCCCTCACCGCCGGCGGCGCCGTCTGGAGCTGGGGCTATGGAACCTTTGGCCGGCTGGGCCACGGCGACCAGCAGACCCAGCTGCAGCCAAAGAAGATCGAGGCCTTTGCTGGCCAGCGCGTCGTCGCTGTGTCGGCTGGAAGGTTCCACAGCCTCGCCCTTACCGCCGATGGCTCGGTTTGGAGCTGGGGCGATGGAGACTACGGCAAGCTGGGCCACGGCGACAGGCAGAACCAGCTGCTGCCCAAGAAGAACGAGGCCTTTGCTGGGCGGCGCGTCGTCGTCGTATCGGCTGGAGGCAACCACAGCCTCGCCATCACCGCCGACGGCGCTGTCTGGAGCTGGGGCTATGGAGGCCAAGGCCGGCTGGGCCACGGCGACGAGCAGCACCAGCTGCTGCCCAAGAAGATCGAGGCCTTTGCTGGGCGGCGCGTCGTCGCTGTCTCTGCCGCCAACCACACCCTCGCCCTCACCTCCGACGGCGCGGTCTGGAGCTGGGGCTTTGGAGGCTCAGGCAAGCTGGGCCACGGCGACCAGCAGCACCAGCCGCTGCCGAAGAAGGTCGAGGCCTTTGCGGGGCAGCGCGTCATCGCTGTGTCGGCTGGAGGCATCCACAGCCTCGCCCTCACCGCCGATGGGGCTATCTTTGCCTGGGGCAAGGGTGAGACCGGCTGCCTAGGCCACGGAGAGGACCTGACGAGCCAGCTGCTGCCCAAGAAGGTTGAGGCGTGGCCCGCATCCTCTTGACTCTCAGACAATCGCCCCGGCGGTGACAGAAGCGAGAAGGCGGGCCGGCGGCGCTGGAAGCTGGCGCTGAGTTGGAGAGAACACTCTGGGCCGGCGCGGGGGCCCCAGAGGGTGTCCATGCGGGGGGGAGATGGGGTCCCATGGCCCGCCGCAGGCGCCGATTTTTTCGGATTGTTTTTCTTTTTTCGCGATTTTTTACTTGTTTTCATGGGAATTCGGCGTACTTGCGGCCATGCTATCACGCCTTGCGACAGCCTGTCGGCGCAGCTGACCGTGCCATGATGCACAATTGATCACCTGCATAGCTCGCGGCCTTAGTATCAAGCATTCAGTGACGACCTGATCGTACGGCCAGTAGGAAGGTGTCCTTCCATCGTGTGCACGCTTCTGGCGCAATGCGCGTCACCTCGGATTGGCTGCTGGCACTCTCGAGGCTATGCCTACACAGCCTCGCGCGCATGGGCAGTCAAGAGGGACCATGCACCTTCTCAGGACAGCGCCGGTGCCTCTCTCTTGGACCGGCAAACTTGGTGGTATCGTGTCACCAATGTGGGACCAGTGCGGCATCGCGCCATCGACAGCTCTGAACTGCGCCTCACCACTGACCGGGAAGGCCGCCAAGTGGGCCAGCACAGGTCGCACATTGTGGCAGCAGTCAGCAGTGCATGGCTGATAGCTAGAGCAGCAGCGTCAGGGTCGCAGGGTCGGATCGTGTCAAGCCTCTCGCCCGGCCGGCCGCGTGCAGACGTCGGCCTGTCTGCTGTCTGGAGTGATCTGTCGGCGGTCAGTACGACCGATCAGGTCGGAGTTTTCTGATGGTTGGAGGGTCTATCTGTATGTACTCCTCGAGATCTCTCCAAATCTGCCCTCTACTCAACCGTACTCATTCGGGAAGTCGGTGCTCATAGAGACTCATAGAGCCGGAGCCCCGTTTCCGCACTGCGGCGCGGCGCACGGTGCCTCCGGGGGGCCCCGCGCCGGCCCAGAGAGAGAACACACCCCGCATATGCATATGTTCTGAGGTCACAGTATGGGTTCGGCACCTGTTCACAGCAGTGTGAAGGTATGTAGGGGATGAAAAAAAGAAACCTTATCGCTCTGGATTTCTCTTTTCGCCCGCCGAGGAGAAGAAATCCAGGCTGGCTAACTCCCTCGAGCGTAGATCGTCTCTCTTCGGCGCGCTCGAGCACGTTTGGCACCAAGAGGCTTTGATTCTTACGACCCTCACCCGCCAAGGCAGGGGTGTGTGCACTCTGCTAGTACTTGTGTACTCACACCACTACACTGTGGGGTGTGCCCGAGCAGCGAGCATGATGTATGTGCGCGTCTGTGTGTGTGTGTGGGACAGACGTTGTTGTCCTATGCGCGGGGCTTCCCGCGGGGACCGAAGACGTAACAGCAGCAGCAGCAGCAGCAGCAGCAGCAGCAGCATTTCTTCTTCGCGTGGGGTGGAAAAAAAAGGGGGAGAGACGCAATTGAGAGTGGGCGCGAGCGCAATCCCACTGGATTGCGTTGATTGCATGTGATTGCATGTGATTGACCTCAGCTCGCTGCTCGGGAGCATGGGATTGAATGCAGTCAAATTGCACGCGATCCCATACTCTTTCTTCTTTTAGTTGCAGACCAAAGGACGCGAGAGAGAGAGAGAGATTTATTAACCAACAAGAAATCACGTTCTCTTTCTAGGACGCGCAGAAAGAAGGAGTCGCTCATGGGGGCAGCCAGCTGGCATGCATGCTTGGCAGCCAGCTTGGCATGCATCGATCTCTACATCCAGTCTATCGATCTCCGCGGCTAATATCCCTGGGGTTAGCAAAGAATTTTACAGGAAAAGAAAACGGATAAGGAGGGGCGGTATGTAGGAAGGCGAAGAACAGTCAGGCTCGGACTGGACACCAACGCGGTATGGGTGGACGCTGGACAGATGACGACGACACGCACGAGCGACACACAGACACAAGCAGGGAGTCGAAGCAGGGAGGTTGCGCGTGCTTGATCGCGCGAGGTCGTGTTTCTTTCGCCGCGCAGAATCCAGAGCCAGGCACGCGCTCTGCCAGCACCCCCCCCGCCTGTGCTCTCTCCGTGGGTCGAACGGCGCTCCGCCCCCCACCCCACCCCCACCCCCGCAGCCGCCCCCCGCGCGCGCGCCCCCGCCGCGCCACTCAAGCTTTCACCCCCGGCGTGCGCAGACACCACCGAACATGTGGAACACCGCGCTCGACGGCGCAGGGCACACCTACTATTGGCACTCTGAGACGGGCGCGTCGCAGTACGAGAAGCCCGCCGACTTTGACCCCGCCAAGGCGCAGAACTCGGGCTCGTACACCCAATACCAAAACGGCAGCGGCGGCGGAGGAGGAGGTGGCGGAGGAGGGTATGGCGGCGGCGGCGGCGGCGGCGGGTACGGCGGCGGCGGCGGCGGGTACGGCGGCGGCGGGTACGGCGGCGGCGGCGGCGGCTACGACCGCGACGCCATCGGGCTCCAGTTCTCGCGCCCCGCCAACACAAACTACAAGGACGTGCAGGACCAAGGCGTCGACCAGCCGGCGTCGACCGAGGTGGCGCAGTTCTGGAAGGAGAACGACCTCAAGGTGTACGGCGGCTCGCCGCCGCCGTTCCTCTCCTTCGAGGAGGCGCAGCTGCCGCGGCCGATCATGGACGCCATCGCCAAGGCCGGCTTCACCAAGCCCTCCGTCATCCAGTCCCAGTCGTGGCCCGCGGCGATGGCCAAGCGCGACTTGATTGGCGTCGCCAAGACCGGCTCGGGCAAGACGCTCGGCTTCCTCGTGCCGGGTTTCATGTACATCCAGCAGCAGCGCGTCAACCCGATGCAGGGACCGTCCCTGCTCACGCTGGCGCCGACGCGCGAGCTCGCCATGCAGATCGAGGTCGAGTGCCAAAAGTTTGGGCTGCCGCTCGGGATCCGGTCCGTCTGCTGCTACGGCGGCGCGCCCAAGGGGCAGCAGCTGATGGCGATGCGGCAGGGGTGCCACGTGGTAATCGGCACGCCGGGGCGGATCAACGACTTCCTCGAGTCGGGCCAGATCCAGCTGCACCAGGTCGCCTACCTGGTGTTTGACGAGGCGGACCGGATGCTCGACATGGGCTTTGAGCCGCAGATCCGCAAGATTGTGCGCCAAGTGCCGCCGCAGCGGCAGACGCTCTTCTACACGGCCACGTGGCCAAAGCAGGTGCGCGCGCTGGCCTACGAGTTCATGCGGTCGCCTGTGCAGGTCGAGGTGGGCGACATCAACTCGCTCAACGCAAACAAGGACATCACGCAGTACGTGCACGTGACGCGCGGGCCGGGCGAGAAGCAGCAGATGCTCATGCGCATCTTCCAGTCGCTCGAGGCGGGCACGCGCACGCTGGTCTTCACGTCGACCAAGCGGATGGCGGACCAGCTGGGCATGCAGCTCGGCCGCCAGATCGGCAGCGGCGTCATCCACGGCGACAAGGACCAGCGCGAGCGCGAGGCTGTCCTCGCCGACTTCAAGAGCGGCCGCCGGCCAGTGATGATCGCGACCGACGTGGCCGCGCGCGGCATCGACGTCAAGGAGTGCAAGGCCGTCATCAACTACGACTTCCCGGGCAATATTGAGGACTATGTCCACCGCATCGGCCGCACCGGCCGCGCCGGCGCCAAGGGGGAGGCGCACACCTTCATGGACGGGCAAAAGGACGGCAAGTACGCGCGCGCGCTGTGCGAGATCATGGTCAAGGCGGACCAGGCGATCCCGGGGCCAATCGCGCAGATGGCAGGCCTGCGCAGCGGGACGTACCGCCCGTATGACGAACGCTCCGCGCTGCAGCCGCACCCGAGCGGCGGCATGATGACCGCCCAGGCGGCGCAGATGGCGGCGACGATCCCGCAAGCTGTCAACAAGCCCGACGAGTGCGGCGACTTCAAGCGCGGCAACTGCCAGCGCGGCGCGCGCTGCAAGTACTCGCACGGCGGGCAGGGCGGTGGCGGCGGCGGCTTTGGGGGCGGCTTTGGGGGCGGCGGCGGCTACGGCGGCGGCGGCTACGGCGGCGGTGGCGGCGGCTACGGCGGCGGCTACGGCGGCGGCGGCGGCTACGGCGGCGGCGGCGGCGCTGCATATGGCGCGGCGCAGAACGCCGCCGCCGCCATCAGCGCCCGCTTTGGCTCGGACCGCGGCGACCGCGGCCGCGACCGTGACGACGACCGCGGACGCAGGCGTTCGCCCGACTACGACGACTATCGCCGCCGTTCGCGCTCGCGCGACCGTCGCCGCCGCTCGCGCAGCCGCGACTGAGCGTCGCGGCGGGGGGGAGGGGGGGCAGTGGGAGCGTGCAGGGAGGTGTCCTGAGGCCGCGTGACCGAGGTCGCGCGGCACCGGGGGGCCTCGGTCACGCGGTCCCGCTTGCTTGGTGCGCTTTCAGAGTTGGCTTGCGGCCTCTCTGGCAGCGCTCTGGCAGAGGGCGGCACACCCGGGGCTTGTGGTGGTGGTGGTGGGTGGGGTGGGGGACGGGGGACCGTGGAGGACAGGCGATGGGAGGCATGGAGCCGCGGGCTGCGCATGCGAGCGCGCCGCCTGCTGCGCCGCCTCCTTTCACTTCCCTCACTCCTCGCCCCCCCCCCTCCCCCCCCCTCCCCCTTCCCTCGTGCGCCCGCTGCCCGCCCGCCGCGCAGGTTCGGTCGAGGCGCCCGAGTTCGGCGCGGAGGGGTTGTTTGGGCCAGGCTCCGTCGGGCAACGCGGTCGTCGAGAGGCGCGCGGCTAGCACAGGGCTAGCCTCGTGTGCGCGCCGCTCCCGAGCCGCTGCCTAAACGGAGTGGCCCTCCAACCGTTTCGCGCTCGCTCCGGGGGCTTTTTCCGATCGGCGCTGTCCTCGCTGCTGAGATCTCTTTCCACTGCCGCGCGCGCTCACACACCTCTGTCTCTCCCTCCTCTATCCGCCCCCCGTCGGTCCCACATGCACATCGTTGATCGTTTCGTGAGAGTCGTGTTCGAACGGAATGCACGTGTCCCCCCCGTCACGGTCGAAGATAGATCAATGAAACCACCTCTGTCCGATCTTCTGCACTCCTCTTCTACATACATACAAAACTCATGCTTAAGTAAACGTATTACGAGAGCGTCTCTCGGGTTCTCCCGCGCGGGCCGGAGTCGCGACGCGGGGGGGCAGCCTGTCCCCGGCCCCCGCCCGCGCAGCCGCAAGGCAGCGCGCCGCGCCCCCGCGAGTCGCCGCGCGAGCGTCATGCGGACGGACACATAGGTTGTATACGACGTACTGTCCTCTCTCCCCGCCCATGCAAGGCTCGAGCACCTACCTCGAGCACCTTTCGGGCCGCCACAGACCTGCCGTATATGCGCTGCGCCGCGAAGACGCGGCGTCTCAAGACTGGCCTGGCTCGCGCGACGAGCGGCGGCGCACCTCGAAATCAGAGAGATACGTCCGTGAGAGGGCTGCGCGGCGCGCGCGGGGGGTATGTAGTCGCACGCACCACAGTTTGCCCGCGCACAACACGCGTCTGGCCCGACGACTCGTTGGCCCGCTTCCGCCGCTCACTCAGCCACTCGAAGCTTTCGCGCACCTGCTCCCCATCGCACCTGTGAATGGGACGCCGCGGCGCCCCCCGCCGCCCGGGGAGCGCACCACGCTCGACTTCGCAATCAAACGGCAAAAGTCATCGCCAGCAATCTCGACGATCTCGCACCTAGCCCCACGGCTCCCCGGGGTCAAAAGGGAAGAGGGCGAACCCCCCCCCCCCCCCCCTGAGTGATGCGCGCACCGTGGCGACGCGCAACGCACCGTCTTGCTGCGCACCTACAAGCACTCACGGCTCGCACAATGTGGCAACCAGCGCGCCACGCCCATGGCAGCGACTGCAGTGCGGCGCGCCTCGCGCTTGCTCAACAGCGCCATCTCGCCAAACCCTTCGCGCGCACGGATGCGCCCGAGCGGCAAATTGCCCGACGAACGGCGGGATGCCAGCGACGGCGAGGCGTCTGCCGTGTCCCCCCCGTGCGCCTCTAATCCCGCCGCCCCCTCGGCCGGCGGCTCGACGACCACAAGACTGCCCGACGCGAGGATGTAAAACTTGTCCGCCTTGTCGCCCGCGCAGAACACGGGCTCCCCCTCCTCGAGCGCGCGGTGCTGCTGCCTGCTCAGTCAGTCAGTCAGTCAGTCAGTCAGTCAGTCAGTCAGTCAGTCAGTCAGTCAGTCAGTCAGTCAGTCAGTCAGTCAGTGTCAGTCAGTGTCAGTCAGTGTCAGTCAGTCAGTCAGTCAGTCAGTCAGTCAGTGTGACACACGCCCTAGCACCATGGGGCACACGCTCTCGCGAAAGAGACGGGGCATTGCACACGAGGCGGTGTGTGCCTTCTCAGGGAGTGACTATTGCACTGATGAGGCATCCCCACAGACATCAGTGCAATAGTCAGAGGGGGGGCAGCGGTGGGGACCCCTCTCGTGCCTGCTCACCATCTGGATGAAAGCGATCAACTTCTGGCGCTTCTGATCGGGCCCGCCCGCGGCACGGTGCCCGCCAAAGCCGGCCTCGAAGTCCTCCTTGGAGAGCTTGAGCACCTGCGGCAATCACGTGCAACGTCAGCAACAAGGGCCACCCGCTCCGGCTGTGCGTGCGCAGCCTCGAGCACCTCCACCGGCGTCCTGCAGCGGATGGCCGCCGAGCGGGTGGGCCGCCCCTCGAGCAAGCTGTTCTCGCCGAAATACTCGCCTGTTGGCGCTCGTGAGAGTGAGCACGACAGGGGGAGGGGTGAGGGGGGGCAAGAGCGCCCGCCTGCGCCCAACCTCGTGAGAACGTGGGGAGATGTGGGGAGATATGGGGAGATGGGGGGAGATATGGGGAGATCGCCTGCGCCCAGCCTCGTGAGAACGTCCTCGCCGCCGTCCTCCCGTGGCTGCACCACCTCCACCTCGCCAGCAAGCAGCGCGTAGAAGTAGCGCACGGGGTCGCCGGGCTTGTAGATGTAGTCGCCACTGTCAAGCGCCTTCGGGTGGAGACGGCGCAGCAGGGTGGTGGTGGTGGTGGTGGTTTGGCGGAGGTCGGGGAGTGTCTTCTGGAAGGTGGAAGTGTGTTGGGACGCCCCGCCTGCTTGACGGTGTGCGTCATCATCCGCACAAACGAGCCGTACGTGATGCGCTGCCCCTCGCGGTCGCCCTCAGTCACACCCTGCAGGAGCTGCTCGCTGCCGCTGCTCTGCCCGAAGCGCCGGAGCACCCGGTCGAGATCGGCGGTAGAGATGTACCCCTTGCCTGCAGGACACGAGGCGTCAGCGCGCGCAGCCAGTCGCGTAGCCGTGGCCAGTGGTGGTCCCCTCACCGTCGGCGTCAAAGACGCGGAACGTCTTCGTGAGTAGCTCCCCCTCGAGCATCGGCCCGCGCAGCGATTCGTGCCTCCGCAGCGCCCGCGCGCCCGCCTGAGCCGACAGCCAGCGGCGCACATGGGGCCCCTCGCTCGCATCGTCTGCCCGCTCGGCCCGCTCGGCCGCTTGCTGCTGCAGCAGCACTGAGAAGCATGCGGCGCGTAGCCGCGAGGTGTGCGCTCGGAAAGCGCGCATCTTTTGGTCGCGTTGCAGTTGGTGCACCTGCAGGCGTCCCACCAACGCGGACAGCAGTCAGGGTCGTGCGGACATCCGCACGGTCGGCCCGCTGCAGCTGACGCACCCGGTCCCACATCGTGCGCGCGCCCGACGTGGCAGCGGCGGTGGTGCTCTGGCTCCGAGCGTCGTCGTCCATTCCAACGATCCACGGGTGCTGCAGAGAGCGAGGATGGATTCTCAGGGTGGAGGCGTGTGCAAGAGAGGCAGAGGAGCGGAATGGGAGGTCGTGGCAGCGTGGGGGAGGGTGAAGGGGCGGCGGGAGAGGCGTCCTGCAGCAGCTGCTCGATTGAGAGCCGCGTCGTCGGGTCCTTGCGCAGCAGCATCTCGACGAACTGCCGCGCCGACGCGGAAGCGGTCCAGTCTGCAAAGGATGCCTGCCGGTGGAGGATGTTGTGGCGGATCTGGTCGTCGCTCGCCTGGCCCTCGTCGTCGAAGGGGTGACTCGCGGTGAGCAGCATGTACGTGAGCACACCCAGCGCCCACATGTCGTTTGTGAGCCCCGGCGACCCAGAGCCCCAGACCTCCGGCGCCCAGTACGCTGCCGTGCCCGACGCGCCTAGAGCGCAGCCGAATGCGGTCCTCTCGAGGGCGTGTTGGAGCAGGGGTGTTCCGCATCTAGAGCCGAGCGCCAACGTTCGGGTCGACGCGCTCGTTGTTGACGTACTGGCAGGAGAGCCCGAAGTCGACCAGCTTGACGTGGCCGTCGTGGGTCAGCAAGAGGTTCTCGGGCTTGATATCGGCGTGCGCCACGCCTTGCGCGTGGCAGATCGCAATCGCCCCCGCCAGCTCGGAGATGAGAGTCGCCGCCTCCCGCTCCGAGTACGCGCCATGCTCGCAGAGGTGATCGAAAAGCTCCCCGCCCGACACGTACTCCATCACGATGTAAAAGTGCTCGTCCGTTTCATAGAGAGCCTCGAGCGAGGCCACGCGCTTGTGGATGCTCACGCGCTGCAGCACGGTGCACTCGTGGCGGATGCTTTCTGCCGTCTGCATCGTCTTGGGCACTATCTTGACGGCGACCTCCTTGCCAGTGCGCAGACAGACCCCGCGTCGGACGGTCGCAAAGTGTCCCGATCCAAGCTCCGCGCCAAGGGAGTAGTCATCGGTGACCCGTCGGCGCCCGCTCTCCGCAGATGCTGGAGCGCCGTGCTGCACCGCGGCGGCGGCGGCGGCAGCGGCGGCGGCGGCGGCGGCGGCGGCGGCGGCGGCGGCGGTGGAAGCACTCGTGCAAGCAACCGGCCGATGGAACGCGCGACGGGCGATGCGGGCAAACGATCGGCGGCTGATCGCACTCGTCGATCGAAGTCGCCCGAGCAGCATCTCGCCACCGTTTCGGGGCAGGGGCTCGAGTGAGCCAGGCGGGAGGTGTGGAGCAAAACAGGTGTGGAGCAGTAAGCACTTGCTTCTCTGGTTACCGACAAGGGAGAAAGCAAGGGGAGGACAGACCACGCCTCACTTTCTCACAGGGGGGGGGAGCCAGGCAAAGCTTGTGCTGTGAATAGCAGGCGTGGTCTGTACTTGCCAGGGAGGAAAGCGGCGAGTCGCGATTCAGGGCGGGTGAACGCCCGCCTAGGTAGGCGCATTTTGTGCCGAGCGCCTCGGTTGTGGACCCGCCGCGCCGTGCTGGGCGGTCGCCGGCGCCACTGGCGACACCCACCCAGGGCGATTTTCGTTCAAACCCGTTGTCAATCCGTGACGTCGTCCGTCCCCCGACGGCATTGCGCGCTCCAACCACGCGGCGGATGTAGAGCTCTACAGCTCTACAGCGCTCCAGAGCGCTCTACATCTCTACAAAACTACAGCGCTCACGCTCTACATCCTCTACGCGCGGCGAAAATTCTTTTTTGCCAGATCACCCGGGCAGTGGGATGCGACGGATGTGTCATTCAAGCAAACGAGGCCGGGCGGGGGTCCCGAGTAGGAGCCTCTCCTACGCGACCAGGCCGCAGGTGCCCGCTCGACGGCAGCCGGGTAAACTCTGAGAAATTTGGTCGACCGGGTATCTGACATGAGAAAAGTTAGTGGCCGGGTAAGCTGAAACATGAATTGTGGGAGACTGGGTAAACTGGTTTGAGCGGAAATTGCGCTAAGTCCTAAGGGAAAATATCGTTGGCCGGGTAATCTGCGAGGCGAATCTCAAAAACCGGGTAATCCGCCATTTATCCTAAACGGATAGGGAAGAACTTTACCAATCAAAAAATAATGAGTGCGGCGCACGACAAGGCTCAAGGGCGTGAACGAAGAGAGTGGGACGACCGCGAGGTGGCATGAAGGTTGCAGCGAGAATCGGCGAGAGACTGCGAAGAGAGATAGGAAGAGGCGGACGCCCAAGGGTGGGCGACGGCTAGCGCATCACACCCCCCTCCTTAAAATTCCTGTGTGGTGGCGGCGTGCCGTCCTCCCATCCCTCCCTTCCGTTGTCTGTTTTCTTTCTGTTTCAAGGGCGTGGACTGGCGCACACTAGCGCACACCTCGCTGCCCAGCGGGGCCAATGGATAGAGAAAGAGTTGAAAAGCAACAAGAAATCGCTTCTTACAATCGGCATCGGAATCCAAAAAGACTTTCGCCAAAAAGAAAACGTCGAAGCGGCTCGCTCGCGCCGCCATCGAGCCGCCTTTCCGCTACCTTTCGCGCCGCCTTCGACCGCCTGCCTAGCGCGCGAGCAGTTTGAGCACGATGCGTCAAGGCCAACTCACACTCCCGGCCGCCTCGATGGCGCCGCTCGAGTCGGCGCGGCGCGTGCTCACCGAGGCCGGCGTTCCGCACACGGAGCTGCGCGGTGTCCGCGCTGGCGACGAGGTAGTGCTGCTGCTCTTCACGCTGACCTCCCTCGCCAAGGCACGCGTGCTAGAGACGCTCGCCAACCACGGTCTCGGCTGCACCACGCCAGCGCACGGGCGGCTGGAGGTGCTGGAGGTGCTCTCCTCCACCCCATATGCCCGACGCGGCGGGAGCGGCCCTCGGCGACGCCGCGTCCGCGTGAGCGACCGCACGTCACTCGACGAGATTTACCAGCGAATCGACGAGACGTTCCACTTCACCTTCGACTTTGTCCTCACGACGGCGATCGCCTCGACCGTTTGCGCCGTCGGTCTTGCCACCGACCAACCAATCTTCGTGACGGCGTCCATGTTGCTCAGCCCTCTGATGGCTCCAATCATGGCGCAGACACTCGGCACCTGCGTCGGTGACAAGCGGATGGTGTACAAGGGGTGTCGCAACGAGTGCGCCGGACTGCTGCTCTGCCTGCTCGTGGGCAGCCTTGTCGGCGGAGTCTGCATCGCCAGCGGCTCGTTGGCAGATCCGCACGAGGAGGACCCGACGCTGGAGGTGCTCCACTACAAACAGGCCGACCTGCTCGTCGGCGCGCTCATCGCGCTGCCTTCCGGCGCCGCCCTCGCCCTCGCGGTCTACCTGTCCGTCAGATAGCTCCGTGCGTGGTCCCCTTCATCCCGCCAGCAGTTCACGTTGGTGTGTAATAGGTCACGAGCGCGCTCTCCGACACCGTGGTTGGAGTCGCCATTGCAACCTCCATCCTTCCACCCGTGGTCGGCTCTGGCATCAACCTCGTCCTCTCGGCACGCGCCGCTCTCTCGCAGGACCAAGAGATGGCCGCCTCCAAGCTGCGGGCGGCGATGCTTGGCACCGCACCACGCCGGCACCGGCGCGCCCACCCCCACCACCCCTCGATATCGCACGGCCCCGCGCCCTACAGGCGTCGCCATGGTGGTCATCAACTGGCTCTGCATCTTCCTGGGCTGCGGGCTGCTTCTCCGGCTCAAGCAGGACGGCCCAGACCTGACATCCCGTGCCCACGCCGCACCACGGGGGCCCCACCCCTCCCCCCGCCGCCGCGTCTGGTGCAGGTGGACGGCCTCCTACAGCGCGCGCAGCAGGGGGCCAAGTCGCCGCCGCGCCGCCGCGCCCCGCTCGACCCGCAGGCACCCCCACAGGCAGCAAACGAGCTCGAGCGGAGGCTGCTCTCCGCCGCTGCTGCCGGTGCCGGTGCCGGTGACAGCGGCGCCCGCACCGAGGAGCAGCAGCCCGAGCCGAGTGGCCCCGAGCCGACGCCGAGCAGCAGCGTGGGCGTCGGCGAGCCGGGAACGGTATCGTCGACCTCGGAGTGCCACGTCGCGCGAGCACCAGACACACCGGCAGGAGAGAAGTGAGTTACGAATACGTTAGTGTTGATGGGCAGGGATAAATAAATAAATAGAGCAGTCATCTCCAGGTACATGGCAGGGAACCGCAAAGCAGCCGCGCGCAATTCTTCTTCGCCGCCTCCCCTGCAAAATGAGCGTGTTGCTCTACCTGGTCAGCTCCGTCGCGTTCCGCGCGTCTGCCCCCAGATGCTCGCGTCCGCGTGTCGCCCGCCCGCCCGCCTGCTTTGAGGCGATCGCGAAGACCTCGCAGCCGCACGGCCCGCCGTCCGAGACGGACAGCGCTGCGCTCGCCACCGCGTCTCCCGCGCCTGCGCTGCAGCCCCGTGAGGTGGTCGCGACGATGCTCCACGCGCTACACCGCTCCAACCGGGGCACCGGTGGCTACGAGGCGGCCCTCCGCTTCATCTCGCCGACGCACCAGTACCGCGCTGACTTTGAGCGGTCCGGAAAGTACTCGGCGGCGTCCTTTGCTCGGTATCTTCGGCAGCCTCACAAGGCGAGTCTGCTCGGGTGGGACGAGTACCGCTGGGATGGCGACACAACGCTCATCCAGGGCGAAGCCTACCAGCAGACGTCCGTCCGCGCGTCGGCCGACGCCACGTGGACTTCCGTGCGTTGGCTGCTGACCTCCAAGGAGGTGGAGGGCAGCGGCGCCTCGCAGTGGATGGTGGAGGCGGTCTTCGTGGACGAGCCCGACGACGCCGAGCTGGCCGCCGTCGAGCCGCTCGCGCCCCTCGAGGAGCCCGAGCGGCGACAGATCTTCGCACAGCTCGACACGGACGAGAGCGGCGCCATCTCGCCAGAGTCGTTCGTCGGTGTCGTCGCTTCGCTCGGCTTCCCCCGCGAGCAGGCCGAGGCGCTCGCCGCGGCGACCGACACGGACGGCGACGGCGCGATCACCTTCGGCGAGTTCTCCGCCCTGCTCTCCAAGGTCAACCAGCAGGCGCGTCGCATCACGCCTCTCCCCAGAGCAGATTGGACGCACACGCCCTACCCCAGGCCCCACCTCGACCGCGGCTCTCTCCCCGAACCGGCTTCGTAGGCCAGTGCGGCGGGGTCCTTTGCGCGCCTTGTCACGGACGGCGTCCGCGCGACCGCCGACGCAGCGCAGTCGCCGCACGACGTCGTCACAAAGGTGCGCACGCGCTGCCACAGGAGCCTCGAGCCTCGCGCGTGCTGTGAGTGTCACGAGCGGCGGCACGCGAATATTGCTGCAGGTGCTGCGCGCGCTGAGGGACGAGCCGCCGTACCCACTGTACGGCGCAGAGGTTGCCATCCGCTATTGCTCGCCGACCAACCCGGCGGCGCAGCTCACGCCCGCCACGTTTGCGACGTACCTCGACGAGCCGCACTATGCGATCCTGACGCAGTGGGACGAGGTGGAGGAGGAGGAGGAGGAGGAGGAGGGCGGAGGCGGCGACTGGGTGCGTTCGCCCTGTGTCGCCCGAGGCGACCACCGTCGCCTCGCGACGCCCTCAGCCGCCGCTCCCGCGAGCAGGTTGGCTCGACGGCGGAGCAGACAGTGCTCGTGCGACGCTCGGGCGAGGAGAGCTGGACGCTGATCGAGTTCATGCTCTCCAGGCACAATGGGCGCTGGCTCATCGACTCGCTCAACATTGTCTAGCGGGGACGCGCGTCGACGGGGGGGGGAGGGGGGGGACTGGAGCCGAGCCATTGAACCTTTTGCTTGCCGGGGAGACCGACCGCGGCGCGCGAGCTGCTGGGGCCACGTCGAGGCTCGAGCAGTGTGTCTGTGGCTCCAGCGTCCAGGGTGTGCGTATCCCGGCGCTGTGCACACAGCTCATACCTCACAGGGAGAAACTTTGTAACTTTTCATCCAAACGAAACATTTTCGGATTTCGCATTTCGGTCATGACTCATGTGAGATGTGTTTACGGTGTGTATATGCGCTGTGTAGCGATTCTCCGATTTGTATTTGGCGAATTCGGACGGCGGGCGCTTTGCGCTATTTGCCATTTCCAATTCACCCCAATTTGGCTTATCGTGCGCATTCTCAGTAGAACACAATATGCGCGTGCCTCCGGCCCTTTCCGTCGCAGTCCTGCTCGTCGTGCCTTATGCAGCCGGCAGCTACTGGGTTGATTCAAATCTGCAACTGTCCGAAACATCTCCCCGGTACGAGCTTGACTGCGTCAACTGCACCGAACTCTGCTTTTGGAGCAGCGCTCAGCCGGGCTGCAACGGAAAGACGTCTGTCAAGAGAGCGTCCTGGGCTGGTCCTGGTTCCGAATGGACTGATGATGGGTACGCTTGCCACGCTTGTCGCGACTGCATAAACTCACTCGACCCATCGCTCGCTAGCGTTGGCTGGATCAACGACCCTCGCGCTGCGAGACCAACCAATGTTGTATGGGATACATACAGCGCCGTGAACTATGGCCGTTGCGAACCCTCCGTTGTCCAGGAGTATGACTATGTGCTCAGCTGCGATGCCAACACTCGGACATTGGCAGACTGGAGGAATACCTGGACCTGTCCAACGACCGTTGATACGACCTACCAAGACGGACCAAACGCGGACTTCTCCTACGAGTGTGGGCAGGATTGCCGCGGATCATCGGGCGATACGCGTCGTGAGAATCGGATGCACGGGTGGAATCCTCGTGGGCTCTGCCATGTACTGGCAGGGCGCACCCTCCTCTCGACACAGGACGCATGCGGCGGGACCGACCCTAGGAGTACGACGTGCCCTGGCATATGTTCCGAGGAGGCCGGCGGAATCGGCAAGAATTCCTACGTCCTGGACATGAATATGTGCCCCAACGAGCACCGCGGCTATTGTGCGCCGCTGATTCCAGAACTGCGGCTCGGCCCCGATTCCGATCAGTCCGAAGAGGAGCAGCAAGAAATTTGCGGGCGCTACGCCGTCAATACTGGCCGCATGATTCATATGTGCGTGCTCTTCTACCCGTGGTGGGACAACTATCGCGCGCATTGCGGTGCCGTGCGGCATGCGTATCAATCTTCGCGCAAACAGGAGTACTTTATTTGGAACCAGCGCAACCCGCCCATCAAGAACGACGCGCAGTACCTGAAAAGTGGATCCATGGCTCCATATACCCCACGCGCACCAGGAAAGATGTATGCGAACACCATCTACTTTGCGACGTGCCCTATTTCTGGCGGGCAGTCAGACTGCGTTGTCTTTGACCACGACCCAGAGGGGCCTTTTGCCCGCTTGCTGGACACCCTAACCGACGAGCAGCAACCGCTACAAAACTGCAATCTGGCTTCTAGCGCCAAGCCGACGCCTGGCTGCGCTCTGGGCGACGACAAGGGCCACCTTTGGTGCACCAAGTACCCCGACTGCCAGGAGATCGATCCAGCAGACCCACAGTTTGGGCTCGTATGGACAGTCAACGACCAAGGTTTCAACACTGGCATGATGGGCTACTTCAGTCCCCTAAAGAGGCCGACAAAGACAACCCCAACCATCGGGTGTGCGGGGGGCGAGTCTGAGACTGGGGGGGTAGGCTGGTGCTGGGGTGTGGCGCCTTGCCCCCAGATTGAGTACGTCGGCGCTTCCGATCCAAACCCGCTCATGTACGCACCCATGCCGCCCTTTCCCTCGGCACCCCCTGCCCCCTTGCCGCCCCCCGGCGCGGTATCAGTTCCGACGGGCCGGGCCGTTAAAGATCCGCACATAAACTTTGCGTATGGAGGCTCTGCTGACCTCCGCGGCCGCCACAACGCGCTGTACAACTTTCTGTCCGTGCCAGACCTATCAGTCAACGTCAAGACGGAGGAGGCGATTTTCACGCTACACGGCGGCGCTCTCAAGGTCAACGGCTCCTTCCTCACCGAGGCCCACGTCACCGCGCAGCTCTCCTCGCGGAAGCTCGCCACCGCGTCATTCTGGGCGTCCGAGCTCGACCCAAACAACTTTGGATGGAGGGTGATCAACGGGACCTGCGTCGGCCGCCCATTCAAGTTCGGGTTCCGAGGCAAGAAGGAGTGCTTCGACCTCAAGATGGCGATGGACCACTCGAGCGCCACCTTCGCATTCCGCAACTGGACCGTGTCGGTCCGGGGCACGCTCTCGTGCAAGGGCTGCCTGCTCGCCGGCCCCGCGCACCGGCTCGACATTGGCTTCGCTGCTCGCGGCAACGCTCCGTCTCGGGACAAGCCGCATGGCATCATCGGCAGCCGGCTCTGCGCCGTCCACCGCCGGCCCCAGGTAACCCTCGCAACACGAAGCATGTGTTGCGAGTAGGCCAGTCGTTTGCCACGCCAGGGCTCGTGCGCTACGGCCAGGTGACCCTAGATAGCCCACGCCTTGCCTGCTGACAGCGACGCAGCGTGATAAAATAGAAAGTCCACCCGTAGGTCGACAGGTACCCTCGGGAGGGCTCCTTCACCACTAGCGCCCAGGCAGAGGGGGCCATCTCTGGTACGGCGTCCGACTACGAGATGGTGAGCCCTCACGCGACCGGATTCGCCTTCTCACGTTTCAACGGCGTTGCGACGCCCCCCGCAGTGGGCGAGAAGGTGGATGTGCTTGATGCGTCGTCCACCGAGCGCGAGGCCGTCGTTTCAGAATAGAGAGGGCTGCGGCTCTCTAGTTGGCGAGCCCTCACTCTCGACCCAGTTTGATACATTCTCGCGCTTCGACGCCCCTGCCAAAGGCCTGCCGTCTGCCTCGGGGGGGCAAGCAGGCGACCGACGTGGAGTGGTCAGCGCGTCGTCCGTCGAGCGAGAGGCCACCATCCCCATCGCGAACACTCTCCCTGCCACCGCGCAGCCACTCCTGGCTGAGAGAGAGAGAGAGAGAGAGAGAGAGAGAGAGAGAGAGAGAGAGAGAGAGAGAGAGAGAGAGAGAGAGAGATTTAGCAATACCAAACAACTCTAGTTTGTCTCTCTGTCTGAGCGCTGAGGCGGCCCATTCACAAGGAAGAATGAAAATAAACAATTTGTACAAAAGACACTATGAAAGTGTGGACCCGCGTGAACAGCAGCTCCTGACCACGGCGCCGCAGGCGCCTGTTGATAGTTCCAGGTGATAGCCCTGAATAGGCAATGCATACGCCTAGTTGGGCCTCAGATCGCCCGACCGCGTCCCGGTGCTCTGTGGTCGGATTTGTGACGCCGCCGCACCGATCTGCACCGCGCCGCGGCCGGGGGCCCTCCGGAGGCCGAGGATGGCCGTTACGGACCGGGACGAGCTCTGGGAGGTTCAGTGTCAGTGTATATATTGTAGAGACTACCCATGTGCACAATATCTCTCAGTCTAGCTAAGCCAGGGGAGGCGATGCCGGGGCCGTACAGCAGCTTGATGATGTTTCGCCGGCGTGCGTCCCGGAGCGGTGCCGGACGGGCGGTCCGTGGAGGAAAACGAGGGACAGCGCCGACGGCGCTCTGATTCGACTTTTCACTTCAAACAAAGCCAACCGCACGCGCCGCGACGCGGCGCGTGCGGTAGGCACTCGGGATTTTGTCAGATCGGCGTGTTCACTCCGGGATCGTGTCCCTCACAACCTGCACAGACTTTAGGCTTGGACAGTACGAGCTCGCTGTCCGCCACCTCTCCATACGCGAGTCAGAATGCCCCGGAGCGGGGCATGGCGCGCGTCTCGGCCTCTTCAAAGGTGCGCGGTAGCACTCCGAAGGCGGGGTAGATCATGAGGGGCGACGGGTCGTCCGCCTCTGGCACCGCCTCCAGGGCCAGACTGAGCTCGGCGGACTCGTCGCGAGCCACATCCTCCTCCCGGGACTCCCCGGCCTGGCGCCGCCGCTTTACGATAGGCTGACGATGCGGCTCCTCCTTCGGCGGGCCAGATCGGTAGGCTTGGGGACTGGCATCCCTGCCCTGCCAGGCAAAGCGGGGCCAGAGCGCAAATGGGGCGAGTGCTTGGAGAGGTGATGGATGTGCCGGGCTGCTGAGTGCCGCGATCTGCTGCTCTCCCTCTCCACTGCGATGAGTCGCACCGTCCGGCTGTTTTGCCGACATGACGCGGGGGTTCGTGGCTGGTCCTATAGCGTGCCTCGGGTGTCACCCGAGCGGCAACTTTCTGACCACTGACTGGAACCAGCTGACCCCCCTTGCCCCCTTCGAACCCGTTCCGAAATGCGATAGATGCTATCTGAAAGTGGGGAGTTGTCCGTTACACGTTGGGTTAATGTGGCAACAGACCCACTCTGGCGCTCGTGCCCCCGGCGATGGGTGCTTGTACGTACTTTTAGCTTACCCTCTCTCTCTGCTTGTAGAGAGAGAGAGAGAGAGAGAGAGATGTTGTTTTTGTCTGCTTGTACGTTGCCGAAATGGGCAAAAACGGGGTGATTTTCATCCGTCAAAATATCTGAAGATCTGAATGGGGGATTCTCCCCAAACCTTCTCAGCTGATCCAGCCTGGGCCGACGCAGGCCAGCCCTGGGCAAAGAAAGAAACCAGCACCTGTTCAGGCTTCCCTGAGCGTCACAGCTCGGTGATCGCGCCAACCGGAGTGAGTACCGGACACCCTTAGCGGACACCACTGTAACGATGGCCGTGACGGACCGGGACGAGCTCTGGGAGGTTCAGTGTCGATGTATATATTGTAGAGACTAACCATATTCACAATATCTCTCAGTCTAGCTAAGCCTGGGAAGGCGATGCCGGGGCCGTACAGCAGCTTGATGGTGCTTCGCCGGCGTGCGTCCCGGAGCGGTGCCGGACGGGCGGTCCGGGAGAAAAAAACTCAAAAAACGCCAACGCCGCTCTGATTCGACCTGGATTCGCACTTGGAGCACTTGGAGTGCAGTCAGTAACCGCACATCCAGGGCCGGGGAGCTAAGAAGCGCACCCAGCGGGCCGGATGATTCGACTTTTAACTTCAAACAAAGACAGTCGCACGCCCCGCAGCGCGGCGCGTGCCACGCCACTGTCAGGAGCGGATCCGTCAGTTAGTCGTGTTCACGCCGGGATCGTGTCCTGACTAACCTGTGCAGACTTTAGGCTTGGACCGCTTTGCCCTTTGGGGACCCCCCCTCCCCCCCTCGGAGGGCCGGATCGAGGCGTCGAGGGCCCCGCTCTTTCCTTCGCATAGCGGCCACTCTTCGGATCGCTGGTCGAGCGAGCGAGCGACCCGGGGGATGCCCCGCGCGCCTGACCCAGGCGCGAGAAACGAATCTGCGAGGCGCGGCACTTGGAGCACTTGGAGTGCAGTTATCAACCTCACATCCAGGGCCAGGGAGCTAAGAAGCGCACCCAGCGGGCCGGATGATCGGTGTCGGGTTACGGGCTAGAGAGCCCTAGCCCCGGGGGTGCGCGTTCGCAGGGAAAGGGCCGTAAAGTAAACACTGGTCTCCGAGGGTTGGTTCCGTGTACCGGGTTTCCCCTTAACTTCAGAACGCCCCCTCTACACGGAGCTAGTAGACACGACGCTGTACACCACGCACGTACACAGGTCCTCACTCAGCATCCCGTCCCAGGGTTCCACTGCCCGACTTCCCGGGGCTCCGGTTCTCCCTGATTCGCTCTTTTATTCGCCAGCCGAGCGTCGCCTGACGGTCGCTGTAGCCGTTTCTGATGTCTCTTCTTTGGCCGAGGTCTTGCCTCCGCTTCACCTCCGACTGGTACCGCAGCCTCCGAGAGCGTCGACGGCCCGGCCGGGGTCTCCCCGGGCGAGGACGGCGGCCTTAGATCGTGTCGCCACCCCTCCCAGGGAGGTCGAGCCCGCTCTCCCTGGTCGGCGAGTCGTGCCCGCACTCGTGGCCTCTCTATCGTCCCTGGCTCGCCCCCCCCCTCCGCCGGCTCCTCTCCAGGCTCGGGGAGGCGTGACCCTCCCTGTCGAAGGTCGTGGTGGTCCGGTTGCCACTGCGGCTGGCCTTCCTTCGGTGAGCCCGTACGTCCCGACTCCACCAGAGGCCGCGTTAGCTGCCTTATTTGGAAATACTGTTCTTTTAGCCATCTCCGCCTCTGCCACCGGCGATTCCTCAGTTCCTTTTAGGACTCAAAGCGGGGGAGTTTTGTTGTAAAATTCCTTTTGGATCCCTTGGACTCAAAATAAAAAGAAACGCGCGGTGGGGTGCAGGTACAGACGACGAGAGAGGGTCGCAGGCATGACGATCGCCATCATCCCCCTGACGGCTGCGGACGAGGGCTACACCTTCTGTGGCGCGCCGCCCGACTCGCCGAACGTCTCGTGGGAACTCGATTGCGCCGCGCCCAAGCACGTGCTTTGGGACGTTTTCACGCGGCTGAAGGCTGACGGCGGCCACATGGAGGTCCTGGTGGAAGGCCGAGGCCCTTCGCCGTGGCCGATTGCCAAAGACGGCGCGAGAATCATGGCTTTTGACATCAACGACGAGATTGTGTCGATCGACCCGGCGCGACCCTACGCCTGGACCTGGCGCGCAATCACAACTAAGGCGCCGGTCTTCAGAGGCATCACTGGCTGCATCGAGATCCTGGACGGCCCTTCACCCGACACCTGCAAGATGTGTCTCGCAGGCTGCTTCGATAACATCGCGCCCGCTTGCCTCATCGGATTCGTCACGAAGAACGTGCTCATTGGCAGGCCTCTCGTCAAGGCGGCAGAGGCAGAGTTCAAGGAGTTCGGCGCCTTCCCGCCCAAATACACCGGCCCGAAGCCGCCGCCCTGAGGCTAGCCGAACACTAGGGCCACACCACCGCTACGCATGAGCCGTGTGCAATGGTGGTCGGCCCTGTGGGCGTGTGGCGAGCTCCGTGCTCCGAGCTCGCTGCTGGAGGTGAACGCTCGCTCTTACTCGTACTCGTAGCCGATGCCTTGCATGTCGGTACTCCCAGTAGTGCGTGTGTACCGTGTGTACTACATACACCGTGTTGGTGCTTCACTTAAACAGAAACGCGCGCTGTGGATAAACTCGCCGGCGGCAAACAGCCCGTACATCCCAGCGCGGGCTACGCGGGCAAGATAGCCCTAACCCTGGGGTTCAAAAAGCGCTTGCGCTTGGCGGTTAGTGGTGCACTAACCTCCGAGAAACCCATCGGGTCGCTTCTCATCGCAAACCCTGTCAGCAGAGTCCTCCTACGGGAATTACGTTAGAGGCACAAACACTGAAAAAAACAAAACCTCCCCCCCGAGCATGCTCCCGCCTTTTGCTCTCATCGTCGTCGGCGACGCCCAGACCAGCACGACCATCGACGCGCTCGTCCGCCACGAGGCAGATCTGCACACCGCGTGCGCATGGCTGATGATCGCGACCGGCGCCGCCGTTGTTCTCGTGGAGTTGGGCGGCGGCATCGCTGCTGCGTACGGCCGGTACGCCGCCACGGCGCCCTTCGCCCGCTGGCTGGGGCCGATGGTGCCAGCGTGGTTCGCCTGGATGTTCCAGGAGAGCTGGTCCGTGCTGGTGCCCCTCGCACTCCTCCCGTTTTCCAACCCGACCTGCCTCGTCTCGCCGGGCAACCTTGCGCTCGGCGGTATGTTCCTCACGCACTACACGTACCGATCGTTCGTCTACCCGCTTCGCATCCGCGGCGGCAAGCCGATGCCGCTCGGCATCAGCTCGCTTGCCGCGCTCTTTTGCTTTTTCAACGGGTACCTGCAAGGTGGCAGAGACGCTAGTGAAACAATAGGCAACAGACCTCCTCGTCGCTTCCCAGCCCCTCTCCTCGCGCAAGCCAGCCGTCCCCGCTGCGCAGGCCGGCTGTGGACGGCGCTCCACGTGTTCTCGCTCGACACAGCAGCGGACCGGGCCTTCCTCGCCTGCGGGGGCGCGATCTGGCTCTTTGGCTGGTGCAGCCACCATATCTCTACATAGCGGACACGCGCCCTCACCCGCCGTCTCCGCCGGAGCCCGTCAAGGGGGCGGCGCCCACTTCACACGAAAGCACGACCCCGCGCCCAAGGTCACACACACGGACCGTCGAGAACGGACGGGCAGTGACGACAGCCAGTCAGAGGGCAGCACCGGGTCCCAGGAATGGCGAACGCGAGAGCCACCTCCATGCGCACACTTCACACAAAAACACAACCACGGACCCAAGACGCACACTTCACACGTCGCGGCGGAGGCCTTTGAAGCGGTCGCACACAGGGCGGCGATCATCGCCAGGTGCGTCAACCTGCACTCGGACAGCATCCTCCGCAGCTTACGCCGGCCACCCGCCCCCTTGGGTCATCCTCCACCACGGACGGTGGCGCCCGCGACGTGTCCCCCCGCCTTGATCATAGGCCGGGCGAGACGGGCTACAAAATTCCGCGCGGCGGCATGTTTGAGTACGTCTCCGCGGCAAACTACTTCGGCGAGATTGTGGAGTGGTCCGGCTACGCAGTCGCCTCGCGGTTCCACGTGAGCGGACTCCATCGCAAGAGAAGACGAGAGGCGCTGCGCCGCCCGGTAGCCGTCACAGCACACGCCGTGCTTCAGGTCGGTTGTCTCGCATTCGCGCTCTTCACGGCGCGCGCGGCCTCGATCGCCCTCGAGCCGCCACCTCCGCCCTCGAGGCCACCGACCACTGCCCGGGCCTTTGTCCTAGGCGTGCAACACCGGGCCGCGCGCGCTGCACCACCACCTGTGGTATCTGCAAAAGTTTGAGGACTACCCACGCGACCGGAGGGCGCTCATCCCGTTCGTTTGGTGAGGGCGTTTTGACTTTCTCTTCCAAATTAGAAAACGTCCTCTCGGCCCACGCCGCACGCGGCCCCGCGCGGCGGGGGGGCCCTTCGATTCACATAATTTCACTTGACCTTCGGCGTCGCTTCCTTCGGCGGCGGGGCGACGTCCTCTTCGACGGCGGCGACGCAAGCGGTGTACTCGCACGGCGCGCGGTAGTACAGGTCGACCACCTATCCGAGATCGAGCCGAGATCCAGCCGAGATCCAGCTGAGTCGAGTGTTGCAATTCGGTCTCCTCCCCCGGACGCTTCTCTCGGCTGGATCTCGGCCGGATGCCGGCTAGATCTCGGCCGTCTCTCGCCACCTGCCCGACCGTCCTCTCGCGCAAATGCGTCCTCCGCACCACCGCCAAGTCCTTTCCGTGCTTCAGCAGCCCCGCCTGGAGGAAGAAACACAAACCGGCAGTCAGGCCCAACGTGCAGCCAAAGTGCAGCGACGCGCCCCGCACGTCGTCCGCTCGCCTGCAGCGCCTCGCAGTCGCCCGCCGCGACCTACAGGACAGCTCCGGGAAGGCTCCGAGAGGGCTCCGAGGAGGCTCCCGCCTGCGGCGGTCGCCCGCGCCTTGCGTTCTCGCGCCGCGGCGCGCAGGGCGGACAGCCACAGCGTGGCCTTGACGGTGAATGAGAACGACTCTTTGTTACTTCGGCGGGCGGCTGGCGGGCAGCCGCAAGGGGAGAGGGGTGGGGGAGGGGAGAAGAGGAGGAGAGGAGAGGAGGAGAGGGGAGAGGAGAGGAGAGAGGAGGGAAGGAGAGGAGAGAGGAGAGAGGAGAGGGGAGAGGGGAGAGGGGAGAGGGGAGAGGGGAGAGAGGAGAGGGGAGAGGGGAGAGAGGGGAGGGGAGGGGAGAGCGGAGCAAGGAGAGAGGGGAGAGGGGAGAGGAGAAAGAGAGGAGCGAGGAGAGGAGAGAGGATAGGACTCGCCTTGACGGCGGCGACGCGGCCTCCGTCCTGATGCGAGGCGCGCAGGGCGGCGAGGCGAGAGGTGTGCGCCTACCCAAAGCAAGCCAGCGAAACAGTCCGCTGGTTGACCCGAGGCTGGCGGGCGGCGAGAGGCGCAGCGCCGACCGCCAAGCGACGCGGCGCCCTGTGCCCCCCATTCCCCTCTCTCGGCCTTCTCTCGGCGGTTTGTGCGCCTTGCGCCACGCAACGCAATACTCGAGGGCGGCGAGGGCGGCGGCGCGGCGGTAGCGGAGGAGGGCCAGCGTGTGCAGCGCCGCCTCCTCGTCGTACGGGAGGGCCGGGTCCCCTTCAAGCAGCGACTTGACCTGTTCGGGGCGGTTGGGGCGGGCGGCGGGGTGGCGCTTGCCGAGGTGTGGGGTGGGGCGGCGGACGAGGGCGGCACCGGCGGGGCGGCGGGCGGCGGGGCGCAGGAGGAGGGCGGCGGGGCGGCGGGAGCTGGGGCGACGAGCGGAGGCGCGGCTGGTGCAAGCTGTTCAGCCCGCCCCTTCAAATCGAGCAGCGGGGTCGCCCCCCCCCCCCCCCCAACCGGGGCCCCGGGGAGGGCCGCCCCCGGGGCGGGCAGGCTGGGGCTGTCCGCCCCTGTTG